GACCCCCATACTTACTGCACTTATGAAGCAATGTATGCAACATAATGGCAGTGCCTCTTCTACATTCAAATAAAGAATACCATTCATTTCCTCAGTGGAAATAACATACATAGACCAACTGTCTCTCATATCAGTCAGAACAAACAAGTGGTGCAAAGTTCTGTCACGGTCAATAATCCTAATGTTTACAAAGTTTTGAAGTATTTAATCTCCTTCACAGCTAAACATAATAGACAATAGGTGTCTTTCTGTACAATACATTATAAACATGTATGATTAGCTGCAATAAAAATATACAGATTTAACAGTAAAACCATCTGTGTGGAGTTGGCATTGGACTGGAGACACTGTATTTCTCTGTGGCAGTTGTGACAGCAACCAGGCGGCATTTCAGTGTGTAAAATGGTTTGCATCAGCAGTAATAGTGGGGAAGCTGAGGATGGGGCATTTGTTGGCCATGCTCCCACTTACCCCCATTGGTAGCATGGTTTAGTGGATCACAGAATCATAGAATCATTAAAGTTGGAAAAGATTTCTAAGATTGTTTAGTCCAATCATCAACCCATCACCATCATGACCACTAAACCATGTCCCTCAGTGTCACATCTACACACTTATTGAACACCTTCAGGGATGGTAACTTCATCACCTCCCTGGGCAGTCTGTTCCAATAACTCATTACTCTTCCACAGAAGAAATTCTTCCTAATATCCAACCTGAACTTACCTTGGCACAACTTAAGGCCACTATCTCTTGTCCTATTACAGTTGCCTGCAAAAAGAGGCCAACTACCACCTCACTACAACTTCCTTTTAGGGAGCTGTAGAGAGCAATAAGGTCTCCCCTGAGCCTCCTCCAGACTGAACAATCCCAGTTTCCTCAGTCACTCCCCATAAGATTTGTGCTCCAAACCCTTTACAGCTTCATTGCCCTTCTCTGGACACTCTCCAGGGCCTCAATGTCTTTCTTGTAGTGAGAGACCCAAAACTGAACACAGTATTCAAGGCGTGGCCTCACCAGTGCAAGCATAGGAGGATGATCATCTCCCTGCTCCTGCTGACTGCAATATTTCTGATACAAGCCAGGATGCCATTGGCTTCCTTGGCCACCTGGACTCACTACTGTCTCATGTTCATGCGGTTGTTGTTTAGTACCTGCAGATCCTTCTCTTCTGCACAGCTTTCCAGCCACTCTGCCCCAAGCCCACAGCAATTGGTGTTGTTGTGACCAAAGTGTAGGACCTGGCACTTGGTTTTACTGAAGCTCGTAATTGGCCTTAGCCCATTGATCCAGCCCATAGCACTTAAGTTTCATTGTGAATATTTTGGAGCAAGCCAGCCATTCTGAATGACAATTTATTTACACAGGCAAGGAGAAATAGCTTCTTGGCAACTGTGTACAGACCAAATGCTGGTTTTCTATTTTAACTCCTTCTTCTTGGCCAAGACACAATGGCAATTGGCTTGTTTGAAAGATGGCAAGTTACCTACTGCAAAGAGCCCAAATGTGGAGAAAGTGAACACAAGTCCAAACTGCACTCTCAACTTACATCTCATTGAAATTCATAACATTGGTTCTGGTCCTGAAAAGCTTTTAAAATAATCAAAATAATTTATTTTAATTGCAAATCTGGATTTACTATAAAATAGACATGACGTGCTGGCCAGTCCAAGGAAATAAGGAAGTGCGTGGACATAGGTGTGTCAGACTGAAACCCGTTCTGACTTCAAGCATCTGCATCATTGGTTGCAAGCAGCCAGGAAAGGACAAGAAACAAAGCCAATCAAATGTGAATCATTGGGTACTTACCAGCAATTAGCATCATTTTTAAAACTGCCAAGAGTGACTAAGCTGACGTTCTAAGCACTACATTGTTTAGGAAGTTAACAGGAGGTTGGCAAAAAAAAAAGTCCAACCTTAAAAAAAAAAAACAACAAAGTCATCATACTGTGAATGTCAGGGTCTCTCAGCTCCTCCTCTGCCACCACCTGAGTCCAGCCCTCTTGTAGTGTGTCACTGAGCAAACTGCAGCTCCTCTGGAATGGGGTGTTTTGAGGTGAGTGAGCCCCAGCTCTGCCAACATGTGGTTCACCAGTGTGTAAGGGGAGAAAAGCAGTGAAATTGCTTCATTTCTCCTCTTTTCTGATCAGTGCCAGTGATAATGATTTCCCTGTTACAGCTTGTAGACATCAGCACACCACTGTGTCAATGCATAGGAGGGCTCAAATCTGAGTCTTAAATAAAAAGGGTTTTGGTTCCAGCACAGCATGTTTGTGAAACATGTACTGACAAGACAAAAAAAAAAAAAAAAAACTGTTCTACATGGCTTGTAAAACATATGTTAAAAATTCTGCATCATAGACCAGCTTTAAATTATTCATTTTTAATTCCTTCAGCCTTGAAGAGCCTTTAAACAATCCTGCCACTGAGGGAACAGCTATAAAATAAAATACTGGCTACTTAAAATTATAGAGAAAAATGCTTTACCTAGACACGGTTTCTGAATTTTAAGATATGAACAAAGGGCTGGATCCCCACTTGGTGAAAGCTGATAGAGCTGCTTTGATGTCTGCATAGCAATCCCCCACCAGCAGCTGAAAGCCCTGGCCCTGAGTTTAGAATAGATTGCGTTTATTCACATAAGAAGACAAGCAAGATTTGCATGGTTAGTTCAAACTATTTCATATCCACTGAGCTGTTGAGGAAATGTTGTCTGTGAAACAAATCCTGGAGTCTTTCCCAAAAACATCTAAATGACACTTGGTAGGGAAACGCTGATATAAAGGGGAGCAGATCCAACCCTCCGGGCTGAATCCTGCTGTAATTACTCCTGCATTAACAGAGAGCATTTTGCTACCTGCACACACACTGGGGAGCATCAGAGAAGTTACAAGCATCCAGAGAAGTTAACTGATAGAACAAAGAGAAGTAGGTTCCATGCTCGCTGTTGCAGGGGGATGTGGTCTTGTTCTCTCTTCCTTGCTAGATTCTCGGTGTTTGTGGTGGCAGTGGCTGAGACCTGACCTACATGCCCCACAAATGTCCTCCTCCATGCCTCATCATGGCACTTCTCCACGCCCCAGCGAGGCCCTTCTCCATGCTACACCATGGCACTTCTCCATGCCTCAGCAAGGCCCTTCTCCATGCTACACCATGGCACTTCTCCATGCCCCAGCAAGGCCCTCCTCCATGCCCCACCACGGCACTTCTCCGTCACCTATAAAGGCCCTTCTCCGTGCTCCATCAAGGCCCTTCTCCATGCCCCACCAAGGCCTTTCTCCATGCCTGACCACAGCACTTCTCCATGCCCCACCAAGGCTCTTCTCCATGCTCTGCCATGGCACAGATACAGGATATCATAGAAGCAGAATGGCTTGGGCTGGAAAGGACTTCAAAGACCACCTAGTTCCATCTCTCCACCCTTAGGAGATCTCATCACTCTCTCCATACCCTCAATGTTTTTTTAGGTGGGACCCCAAAGGCTGCTGTGTAGTCTGAGAGCTGGCAAGCTGTTCCCAGAGACTTCCTCACAGACAGACCCACTTACCCACAGTCATCAGGAAGCAAATGAAGCAGAAAACTCAACCACTTTGCTTGAAGGTATAGGAGGGTTACAGAAGCTGTCATGGTTGAGTTCCCTCAGGAGCTATCCCACCTCCAGCAGCTCTTGGAGAAAGAGCTAATTAATACTGTTTCCCCCCAACAGCAATTCTTTGTCTTAATACACTCTGCGTGAAATTTTGAACAAAGTATTTTTTTTTTCACCCTCTTTACTTTTAACTTCTTCCACACCCCACTTAGGAAGGACACAGCACAATGTTGCTCTATGGCACCCAGAGGCAGAGTTGGGATGTGGGAGTCCCCCTGTGGGTTTATGAGCTAGTTTATGGATCTGTGGGTAAATGGGTCCATGCTCAGCCTGTCACAGGTGCTCAAACCAAATGCAAATATCTGCAGAGTGGTAAGCAACGTGGCACTAGTCTGCAACCACACTTTATGCCTTTAATGCAACCATGGAAATGAGCTCGGCAATGATTGATGACTTACAGCTCCTACATAGCACCTTACAGCTTCCAGTGGAAGTCAGTTGTGCTGGATGCAATAAACCAACAACGTGGGCAGTTTGGGTAAATAAATTAATAACTGTAAACTCATATGCTTCACAGAGCTACTTATTTCCCAGCTGTCCAGCATCCTTCAGAGCTCACATACACTGTGGATGTGTATCTTCTATAGCCCACAGTGGGATCGGGGAGAGGAGCAGAGCGGTATTTGCTTTTCTGGAGGTGCTATAAACTCTGCGCTTCTCGGCTCGGCTCCAACCCTCGCACACCAACACTAAAAAAGCCAGCATTATGTTGTTAAATAGTTAGAGCATACACTTTATCAGTTGAATGTATCTGTCTGGGGTTTTCTTTAATGACGCTTTTTAATTCAACAGCATTTTATAGCAGTCTTAAAAATGTCAGATGCGGGACACAAGGATGATATTATTTACGATGCACACTTTTTTATTATTATCATTAATGACACAAAACACACTTTCACCCCTGAGGAGCACTGAATTTCCTTCCACTGAATTTTCTTCCCGCTGCCATCACCTCTGGGATCCCTACGAGGACAATGTTGGTGTCCCAGCGATGGGGGTGGATGGAAGGCACTTCAGGGTGGTGATCTGGGGAGCAGGTAGAAAACGTCGAGTAGGGAAGAGGGCGGTCTCGGCACCCATCGGACAGGGCAGCCCCGCGCACAGCACGCGGGAGGCCGGCTGCCCGGGTATTGCCCTGCCCAGCTCCGAGGAGGAGCCGCGGGGGCTCTGCGCCGTCCACGTGGCTGGCTGGGGGCGCGCTGTATGAGCGTGCGGGAGGCCGGGCGGGAGGGAAGGGGAGGGACGGGGCGCCCGGAGCGGCTCCGCGGGCAGCGGAGACAGCAGTAACAGGAGCAGCAGCAGCAGCAGCAGCAGCAGCACCGCCGCAGCGCCGATCGCCCATCGCCGGCCATGGGGTTTGGCCGCCCGCCGGCCTCTCGCGCCCCGCCGTGAGTACCGCGGGACCCCTCTGCCTTCCTCCTCTTCCTCCCGCTTACCTGCAAATCCCGCTCACCCCGCTGCAAACGGCGCGGCGGGAGCCAACACCCCTCCCCACTCCTCATTAAGTTCTTTATTTGGGGGTTATTTCTCTTCTCGCCCAGAAGCAGAAAGAGCGGCTCCGGCGCCGCGCCGCTCCGCTCCGTTGCGGGTAGGCAGCGGCCGCGCAGCCGGGAGCGCCCCGCGGGGAGCGGCCGCGGGGGCGGCGGGAGCGGCGCAACTTCAGGACATCCCCGGGGCCGCTCCGGGTCCCGCCCGCCGCCTCCGAGCCCCCCGCCTGCCCCAGTCCCGCACCCGCCTGCCTGTCTATTATGATCATTTTTTTTTTTTTTTTTTTTATTTTTTTTTACTCGCTCTGCCGGTGTTGCTCCGTTAGAGGAAGGAAGCGGACCTTAGGTACCCGCACATCTCCGCCGGCAGTATTAATTTCCAGCGCAGTGTAAATAACTAATCTTCGAGGTCAGCAGTTTGGCAGCTGTTCGTATGGCTCTTGGTGTCTCTCCTAGCCAACAGTTGGTGCTTGGCCTGGTGGATCTTAGCTTTGTTGAAAATGAAAACAAAATGGTCAAAATTGCTTTGGTGTGCGTTGACTCATTTGAAATATGTGGTTTTTGTACAACTCTTTATAAAGCTTGAGTTCCTCTTGTGTTCAGTACTCCAAAATAACTCATTGATATATAACCTTAAGACAGAATTATATTTTTGCCTGCTAGGCATGCATGTGAAGGGAGAACCTCCCTGGCTATGGATCATTTCGAGGAGATTGGAAGGGTGACAAAGCCGTTGTAATCTTCTGGGTCCGTTTTCATAAGCTCCTGAAGCTCTCTTGGAAAAGGAAATTAAATTTCAGCATGGAAAAGAAACAGGAAATGTGAGGATATGAAAAAGAAACTCCACCTTTTATTTCGATCCCATCCTTGTGCATTCCTCCTGAGCGTTGGTGCTCTTGGCTGACATAAGGCACAAAGAAGCATTGCCCCTTACTGGAGCCTTCGTGCCACTTGACAGCTGAGAGTGCACTCTCCTCCTGTTTGTTAGGCACATGGCTTTAGCTGGAGGGCTGGCTCTGTGCAGAGCATTCGCTTTGGAATAGTTGGGTCCCTACTTGGTCTCCACTTGGATCTCTGCTTAGTGTCCCGTGTGATCTTTTGCCTGTATCTTCACCCATTCTCAATTTTTAGGGCCTGACCTACAGCCTGTGGGACGCTGCCCGCTGTAATGCTTTGGTAGAGCTGCTCTTGTGTTAGAAGCTGGGGTTTGCCCCAGGCTACCTGTCCCACTTTTAGCTGTGCTTCAGGTCCCTTCTGGGAGCATAATGATTTTGAATGCTTTTGAATTTTCAAGCTTATGAATGGTTGGGTGTGAATTAAAAGAGTTTGTGAGTTGTTTTCTTGTTTTGCACTTACTTTCTTGGTTATCCTGTAGGCGGCAGATCCTCTGTGTAGGTCCGTGGGGAACTTGTTGCTGTATCCCCTTCCCACTTCCTCACACTGCTTCATTTGGGTGCTGCTAGGAGGTAACATTTCAGCAGGTTTAAATCCTAAGCAGCGACAAAGCTGCACTCTGTAGCCCGACCCAAGCAGCTTGTGGTCTCTTCACCACCAGGTTTTTCAAGTACGCTTCTGTCAGATATACTTCTGTTGCACTTTTCTGCTAGGAGCACATGAGAGCACTGTCTGAAAGAGCAAAAAGAGAGAACAGTTCAGTTCCACATTCTTTGGGCTTGCTGTTTGTGTATGGTTTGCTTGTGCATGGGAACACTGAGTTGCTCTGTTTGTATCAATTTTTCACACATCCCAAACAGAAGAGAACTCTCAACCTGGATTGCAATTTTTCTTCTAAACTTGATATTACTAACAGTACAAGAATTGCAACTGCAAAGGTAACTTTTAACACTAAACATCATTTTGTTTAAGACTTTACTTCACCTAATCAGTTTGCTTTTCTGTTGCTAGAAAACTGGGAGTAATTTGAGAGGAAATCGTGGTCGTGCAGATGGAAGTTTCATCCCCTTGGCTATCACAGCGTCCTTTATCTCAAATACATTGCAAATGCTGCTGTTAAATGATAGCAGTAATTCCTTTTTTTTTATTAAGGATGCCTTGCAGAAGTGTTTTCAGAAATGTAGTGAAGCAGAAATGTGCTTCTAAGAGCAGATCCGGCTCCACAGCAAATTTAACATGCTGTTAATCCCACCACCTGGTGGAGCTTTTTATGGCGCCAGCTGAGGAACGCCGGATAAGCACACGTTTTTGTTTGGGTTTGCTGGCCAGATGCCGTGAGTAGAGTTGCTTTAACTTTTTCCTTCCTCGCACCAGGCTTACTTTTCTGTGCATTCTACTTATTCTATACTTTGCAGAAGGGAGCACGAGGCTGTGGGTGTCTCATGCTGAAGCAACATTTCTGTGCAGACAGTTAAATCAGTGACAGATTTCCTTCCTGCCTGCCCTTCTCCTTCCCTTACAGTGCACTTTTTTTCCTTTCTCCTTTTTATTTCAGAAAGATGATGTTGGCATAGATCACAACTGTAAACTGGGCGTCCAGAAGCTGTTTGTTTTCACTTAAGGGGCAAAAACTACTTGGGGAAAGTATCTGATCAGGAAGAGAGAAGCAGCAGTATCTTTTTGCTTATCTGAGATTACTGGTAAAGGTTAAAGCATGGGGGTGCATGTAGGAGAAGGGATTCCTTTGCCCCTGTCTGACTTATGTAGTCCTGCTTGATTGAATCAGAATATGTAATGTTTGTTATCTGCACAGTGAAGATGCTGATAAGTCAGAGGTATGCAAATTGACAGCTCATACATTAGAGTGGAATTAGGTATCGCAGTGTGAAACTTTCTGTTAGCAGTCCCCAGAAAACATCTGTGTAGGACAAGGGAATGAAACATGCAGACAAATCACTGTTGTGTGCGTTTATGTTGCTTTTATTGCCTTCATGTCTGTGTCTGAAGACTGACCAGGAAGTGGCAGCTCCTGTGTACCTCTCAAGTTCTGCTGTGATGCATCTGGTCCTATATCTGGTCCCATTTATCCCAAGGTGGATAAATGCCTTTGCAGTTCATCCATATTCATTTAGCCTTATAAGTATCTGCTCCAGTGTACTGTACGAGCCATGTCCCAAGCTTCAGGATCTGCACGTTTGATCTCCCCAGAGCATAGGGGGAGTGCAGTTGTCTACGTGTAGGAATCTGTCTTTCAGCATCTTGAACACAATGTGGTTTTTAAGTACCAAACTCAAGTACTTAATGGAAAATACAACAAGCTCGTGTTGATTGGGTTTGTCCAACATACATTGCTGGGAAGTGCAGAACATGAGGAGGAATGGATGTGGTCAGCCCACAGGGACCAAACATGACCTTCCCCATATTTTGCTGCCTGCCATAGAGCTGCTGCTGCCATGGAGGTACCTGCATGTACTCTGGGTGTCCCTAAAACTGCTCTGAGCTGGAGCCATTGTTATCCATCCTCTCGGAGGTTTTTTCTGCAGAGCAAAAACCAGCACAGGGAAGTTTAAGTATTCAACTGAATGCTGGAAGCAAGATTAAAATGCCTCTGGACTGAATAAATTGTTACTGAAATTTTCCCAAGATTGGTGTATTTCTTTAAGTTATTACTTTCTAGCTGTTGATGCACTAAAACAAAGGTTGTTCCTTTTAAAGGACACAACATTATTTCTGGAAGCTGGATCTTCAATCAAGGACTTAAACTTATATATCTGAAGTGCTGGATGTGCTGACACATCACAGTGCTGCACCAGCTCAACAGAGAAATCTAATTCTATCAAATCTGCCAGCTCAGTTAATATGACCCTGCTAGGGAAGTGTAAGGTGTCACCTCTTGATTTTTAGGTAAGAATCAGGTTCTCTGTCTCCAGAGTCAGTGAGTGCTATGGGTGGCCAGAACTGGATTTGTACCTACTTACAGCGTGGCATGCAAAACTAAAGATCAGGTTAGAAGATGTCGTCTGAGTATTAGGGTCTAAGTACACCAGTTGGAGTCCTACAGAAAGTCCCTGCTTGGGCTCAATCTGGAAATAGAGTACTTTGGTCTGAGACTTCTACAGAATTGTATGGAAAGAGCATGGTGTTGAGCTACCTGCAACTCGAAGTAGAGCTGACCTCTCTGTGTGAGTCTCTTGTATGGTGCCCTGCAGCTATCAGGGTGCAGTAAGGACATTCATGCCTGTATCTTAAGTTCCTTTAATCTGATGGGATATAGTGATGGTTTTCACATGATCTGCCCTTGGGCTGCATTAGTGTGAGCCTTTAGCTTTATTGCTCCATGCATGTCATGTTTTCTCTTACTAATTCTTGCTGAATAGGTTTGTGAAGGTGATCTGGCTTCGCTTTTGGTTTGGGGGGGAAACATAAGCAGGTCAAGATAATCATCAAATCATAATTTTGGTTATGAAAAAAACAAGGCATTCATGCTTTTTGGTTCACTTGAACTTAATTCTGTGTCAATTTCAAACGCTTTGAGATAAAGCAAAGAATTTTGACGAGAAGAACCAAAAGGAAAGTTTGCCTTTAGAAATATCAGGATGATTCCCATGGCTTTGTCCACATTTCTCACTGTGTAGCTCTCCTGCTTGGCAGCCAAGTGGTCCAAGGTTTGCCATTTGGGTTTCTAACACAAAATGTCAATATTAGCAAAAAATAGCAACGCTTTTGTGATAAAGAGTCAGGCAGTAGTGAAATTCCTATGTCAATTATATTCAGATTTTTCAGGAAGCATGAACTATGGACATGTGCCATTGTGCCCTGCCACAGTGACACACTGTGTGTTTGGATCAAAGTTAAATATATTGGGTGGAGTCGGTGTAGGTTTTTTTGGTTTTTTGTTTGGTTTTTTTTTGTGTGTGTGCCATCTGCCATCAAAGCACTGGGTGTGTGAGAGGCTGAGAGCTTCCCTAAAGCTTTGGGGTGAGTCTTCCTTGTTTTCTCTCCATTTA